TGAAGCACCTGAATGCTGGTGTCTGTGGGTCATTAGTGATCTTTATAGTAGAAAGAGGCTGAATGGAGATATTTTACCCGGCGGAATACAGAATCCATCAGGCCTCTTTGAGCCAGAAAAGAAAGGATATCTCAAGTGTACACACTGGACTGAACTGTAAATGAGCACGGAATCAAGGCTAGCGAATATATTAAAGCCAAGAGGCTATGGATTTCATTTCAGAGTGATATACTCTGACTTTAGAAATAAATAAGGAAGATAAGCTGTTAAGTAATTTCAGTGTAAATGAAGCATAAATGGATGGTTCTATGGGGGCACATAGGTTCAGAATTAATGGGCTCTAATATTTTAGACATATTTTAGACATATTCCCTGTTAACTCCATTTGGCAGATGTGTATCTTTAGCCTTAGAGGAGGATCGTTGGCGTGTCTCTGACAGTCTGCACTGCACTGAACTGTAATTAAAGTTTTATGGTGGTAAGGTACTGGTAATATGTTAAGGCAAAATGGATTTAAATAAAAATCAACTTACATGCAATGACATATGTACGTGTCACAAACTGTACCAATCCTGTAAAAGGGATGCTGCATAATGTGCATGTCTTCTGAACAGGAGTCCCCTAAGTGTTACTGATAGATCGATGGACATGCGGTAACTCAGAGATAACGCTGATGTGAAAAGTATCATGTCGGCCAGGCATGCTCTTCTAAAGCACTAAAGAAACACTAAATAAAATGTAATAGCTGTGTAGATGCATTCATGATTTCAGCGATAGTAAATCTGCATTAGAGCCCTGTGGTTGGGCATGATTATTTTCTCAGTCAGAGGAACATAAACTAAAATGGCATAAGCTTACATTTCTTGACTCTATTTCTTTTGTGTCACTGATTCTTTTCTCTTCGTTCCATTGAAGCAGCAGCATGTCTTTTATTATCATCATTTTGCACACTTTGCGGTCTCAACAACCAAGTTGCTCCACGCTGGTAAAAAGCATAATGTGTCGTCCATACATCCTGAGAGTACAACAAACAGAGCCTGTCAGCAGTCAAAGGCGGAGGCTTTGATCACATTTCCCTCTGTATTCCAGAAAGAATACAAAAGAGCTAGAGAGACGGGCGGACCTGGAGAATAATTGGCAGGAAAACAGAGAAAAGGCCTGTCAACGATACTTTTCAAACACTTCCTAAATCAGGCCTGAGCAGCTTGTTGGTGACTTTGAGGAGAAATACATACAGCTTATGCCAAAACCCACACAGCAAATGTGCTAAATGGATGAAAATGGTGGAAAACCCAAACTTATGTGTGATTTTTATAGCCTAATCTTTAAATACAAGAAAACATGCCTGCATACTGTCCATACAGAAGAGGATGTGCACTTGAAACTGTCCGATCTGACATAAATAGCCTAACCTTTAACTCATTTTTATTGACTCTATGGACTTCTTCCATAATGACTCATGATCAATAGAGTCTTGCAGGATTGTGGTGTGGTCCTCCAGCAGCATGTCAGGCATGTTGTCCAGGCTCATTAACTTGTTCGCATAATTCCTCGCTGTTGTCATGGCAGCACAACGTCCTTCCCATGAGAGGTGGTATTTGCTGAGTCATGACTACACATACTATATACCGTGAATGAGTTGATTTGTAATGACAAATCCGCAGTGACTTACTACTCTACTCAGCAGTTCCCCAACCTTTCAGCATCTTTTAGCTCCTTGTTTTATTATTATTATTATTAGTATTATTTTTATTTATTTATTTTTAAATTAGCCTTCCATCTTACTGTTTTTGCTCATTTGACAGTTTTCTTTAACCTGTGTCCAGCAGTGGCAGTTTTTAATGGCAGAAAAAATAAAAAGTAAAAAAAAAAGCTTGTGAACATTTGTGGGTTTACCTCCTATAAAGTTACATGTTTCCCTCAGTAGGTGGTAGAGACTCAAACAGAGCTAACATCAACATGTCTGCGCAACATACTGTGTAAATAATAGAGTTCGACCTTTCTTTAACAGAACATAAAACCGAAAGAAGATGCTTGGGTTATTTAGAAATGGTGTGATCACATAGTTTCATCCAGCAGAGCAGCCCCGATTCCATAGTTTACAATCCTCTGGGCCCTGCCTGCAGCACATGTAGCAGATAGAAGCTGAGCAGTTGGCGGTACAGAGTCAAACAGTGGAGCCTATCCCAGCTGACTTAGGGTGAAGGCAGGGGACACCCTGGACACTTACAGACAGACAACCAAGCACACTCACATTCACACCTACGAACAATTTAGAATCACCTATTAACCTCAACATGTTTTTGGACCTTGTGGGAGGAACCCACGCTGCACGGGAAGAACATGCAAACTCCACGCAGAAAGATCCCGTGTGTCATCACCAGGATGCGAACCGACAACCTTCTTGCTGTGAGGGAACGATGCTAACCACTGCGCCATCTTGCAGCCCCTATGACTCATATATATAATAAAATAAAAAATAACTTAACGGTTACATACGGTTCATATTGTATGCCTTCACAGTATGGTGAAGAACTCCCTCATAGTGAGTGTCTACACCAAATTTTAAACTATCTAGAATGTCTAAATAGTCTCTGCCACATTAATAAATGTATGATTAAGCCTTCATAAATGTTTCAGCAAGCAGAGAGAGCATATTTTTTGAAGTTTTACAACACTAATTTTTGGAGAAAAGCATCTGCTATTACACAGTATAATGTTTAGTTTTATATAAGGCATAAAAACATAAAAAGCCATACTGATTCAAATGTATTTTATTTAAATTTGAAAATGGCATAAACATTTTGGAACTGTTGGAATTCATAATATAACCATGTTTAATATAAAATAGTGTACATACTAGTGTATATAAACAATATTGGCTGACAAATCAACCGAAAGCACATTGGGTAGCCCTAAAGTGGCAAAAACGAAACAAATGAAGGAAATCTTTCACTGCATGTTTAAGCTTCTTGTGTCATATTATGTCTGAACTGTAATACACATTGTCATGCAATTTTAACACAACTCTTTCCCTAGGAAGAGTTTACCTTCTGAGATTTACTGTGCATCACTGGCGATTTCATACAGTTGTTACAAATCAAAATTTCCAAAACATTTTTAACTGTGATATGTGAATTTCTTCAGTCCAATCAGTTAGGACTATTGCACACACTTGACACATTTTGACTATTTTCTGACCATCAAGATATAAGTTTTGTTATTTTCACTGGACAACATACATGTCCAGAAATACCTGGATATAAATGACTGCAAGAATAAAACATTCAGTCCTGCCATGCCCCGAGGAAGAAACTGAGGATGCTCAGAAATGACATTTATTTACAAGTGTCTGTCAGCTTGAATAGATTAATGGAATTTCTTGACAGCATAACACTTCAGATTTAACTGACATCTACTTTGTCCTTGCATTCGCTGACTGTCATTTGAACAATGTTGTTTGCAAACACTAATTACATCCACATACCGATTCCCTTCACATTGCGGAGGGGCCTCCGCGTGGGACTTGAATAGAGAGATGCAGATTTTCTACTGTCAAGACACTGAAAGCCACGAAACAGCCTGAAGGTAAAACTATTGACCTTTTCTTAGAGGAACTTTATGTTTAATGCCAGTGGGATTTGGAAGGCGAGTCTTTTAAAGAACTTTCTCTGTTTATTTCTGTATGTCTGGCTTCATACTGTATTGATTTGCATGGGAAGGAAGTCTCTAAAAGCTTATATTTGGTCCCTGTGAAGAAAGGTCACAGAGAAGAGTCAGCTACTGACAACTTTCTTGACTTGTTCGGGAGGACGTACTTTACCACACAGTAAAGTTCTGATTTTTACCACTTGCTATCATTTTCCCCATCTTAAACACCGAGTCTTTCATTGTGATTTTGTGCTCCCGTGAAGTGCCAACCCTGCCCTCTTGTAAGTGTTTTGTACAGACAAGTGTCCTCTTTACGAACTGCAGATCTCAGCAGGAGGATGCTTATAGGACGCTGCTTCTCCACCTCCCTCCCCCTCCAAAGATTCTGCGTGCCTCATTCTTTTCAGGTGGACATGCATTTAAATAAACACACGAGCCATGTTGCAACACTAATCGTGCGTACAAGTACTGTGTGCAACTTAATTTCTCATCAGCACACCGATGAGATTGACCCCTGTGTCTGCAGATTTTCAATATGCGATCGATGCCGTCATGCTCATCTACTCTGGTAAATAAATCCATAAGGAACAAAGAGCCAGCTTTTAACTATATTATGAACTATAGCTGTGCCAAAGTATCACCGCTATGTAATCGTCAATGAAAACACTTCCAAGAAAGTGGATGATGACATGGATTTAAGGTCTAATTTCCGAGAGCCTTAGTCAGCTAGTCTGAATCAAGACAGGGTAAAAGGGGTCTCAGGGAGGATGCTCTTTTCCATTTCTTTTAATTGAAATAAAATGGCGGCTATTTCAGCCACTAACCCTCCAGTGATTAAACCTTCAGAGTGATTTTTATTGAAGCCGTTCCCTTGTCATATTCTGCCTCCCCGCACCCTGCTGACAATCTGAAAACTAATGGATTTGACACGACTGAGCCAAGCGATGATGCACCAGTGCCCCCATCTGAGACCACGAGGGATTACAGCAAGTAAGGTCGTGGAGATGCTCCTCAGGGTCTCCGATTGCGTTAAACTAAAAAGTACATGATTTAGAAGCTGTTTTTTTTTTTTTTTTGCTGAATCTGTGGATATCCATGTGCTCCACGCCTTATGGCCTTGCATTAACAAGAGAGCAAAAGACAACCAACAGGAAACCACTTGATTAAAAACCTTGACACACGCTACCCAAAGCCCTGATGTGGCAAAATGCAAACCTCATGCAGCTGCTGAGAGACAGGTAGCTGAATAAGGAATTACTTTTCCCTGCTGTGAAGACACATTAAGCCATACTGGCCAGCAAAAGAACAACAAAAAGACAGACGTAACAATGTACACGCTAAACAGCAAATGGGAGTTTTAAAATGTTTATTAAAAAAATAGAAAACTTAGATAAAAAAAAACAAGGTTTACATCTATGTCAGTCGTTTACACATTGCAACCCATCCTTAATTACACCGTTATGAGTTGGGGATTTGGTTCATGGCAATAGGATAACGACCTACTGACTATCCTCAAGACAACTTGATAAGAAGCTGCACTTAAAATGAAGGGACAATGCTAATGGCGTGATGCTGAGTCCATCGGTTTGGTACACAAGGTGTTACAGTTCACAGACATCTGAAACATGTGACTTCACCAAAGGTTCGTTTTGGCTTGTGGCTCAACCAAAACTCCTGTGATGGTGAATCTACGGTGTCCCGAGCTCAAATCCTCTCATGGATTGCTGTGTAAACTATGTAGCTTTGAAACCTTGTCATACAAATACTGATCTTAAATATGGCAGAAGAAAACCTCGGCGAAATGTAAGGACCTCTCAACGGATTTATAATTATTGTCATTGAATGACACAAAACAAGGAGGGAAAAAAAAAAAAAAGCTGTGACATGATGCGAAAGGTTGCTGACTGCATTAGGAGTCTGCTCTTGGAGCCGACACCCAGAAGCTGTATGTAAAAATAAAAGCCAAGTAACCCTGGCAGTGCTTATTGAAACAAATACAGAAAGCTCTGGCTACATACAGGAAAAAGGGAAGATTTGGTCATTTAAGAAGGCAGTTAACCTGTTGCTTCAACAGAATCAAAGGAGATATAAGGCAGAAAAGAAGCACTTTGCTGGTAATAAGTAGCACCAACTATTTTTGAAATGACAAAAAGTATCCACAGCTAAAGGTGCATTTCCCCCAAGACAGCGTACGGTCTGTTGGAAATACACCTAAATGAAACTATTATAAACTGGATGATATGTTTCAAATGAGATCTAGTGGTGGAAAAGTATTTGGACAATCAGTTTGCAAAATTTCAAGTGATGAGAATTCAAACATAAGTAAAATGTTGGCATCTTGGGATTTTTGGCACATTTCTCATGTTATACCATAGCTCCCCCTTCTGCTGGAAAGCTCTACACACACACGCAGACACACACTCCTTCTAGGCCCTTAAATCCATCTATTGCACAGATCAATATAGTCTAGAAATTAAAAACAAAAAAACAAAAAGCTAACCTAAAGTAGGGAGAACCCCTAAAACAAAAGTAAAATGTGAAATAAATTAAATAAAATCAAGTCCTTATTGCACATAAATGCAACAAACATAAAATAAGGTGGCAATGTTTACAGTACAGAACAAAACATAGTAGTGCCAATGTGAACTAATCCCTCTGTGACAAAAACAACAGAACTGAAGATAATGACCAACCAAGCGAACCACTGATACATTCAAACAAGTCATCACAGTTTATGTTCTTGAGACAAGGTCCGTTGTGCCGTCACACCAAAACATTGTCAGCGTTGCGCTGCATAGGTAGAAAGGTAGTGCTTCGCTTCACCAGACTACAATTAGTAGATAGTTCAAGCTGTATGAGCTCCGCATCAAGAGTTGAGCTAACAGGAGGTTGGATTCAGAAGAGCAAATGAGCCCAAACCTGATAAGGCCCACTACGAGTCAAAACTTCAAGGAGACGCCAGGCTTGATAAACCAGTTCAGTACTATGGCACATGATGTTCAAGTTGCATGGAATCTCAATACTTGACTGTCGACCAACCGGGAAGTAGCACTGCTGAGGAGACCCAGTCTGGGAATCGGTGATTCCTCCCTCAGTCAAGTCAAGTCTGTGCTGGTGTGCATCACATTCTGAGGAAGGGCTTCTGACTTCAGACTGATGGAACAAAATATGCACAGTTAAGACTTCAGGCCTTTACACTTCTCCTCCAAGAAATGGGAGACAACTTGATTTGACTTGTCAATTGTAGCACAACGTAGGTGCATTTTAGAGCCTCAAACCCCAAAAAAAAGAAAAAAAAAAAAAAAAGAAAAAAAATCACCATCATATTCACCAATGATGGGCAGAGAGGTCTTCAACAATCAGTACAAGCTGTTCTGCAGTTTCAGTCTTTCACCTGCTCTGGTTGAGAGGAAGAACATTGTCCCTCTTTCTACGCCGCCAGGTGTTTCGGTTGTACTGCTGCTGGTTTCTGAAACCTGGTCCCGTGTTCTGCCCAGGGGGGACAAACCTGCGCTGCGGACTGAAGTTACCTTGAGACTGATTGTGGCCTTGGAGGCTCCCACCTTGGTTGTGCTTGAAGCCAAATTTGTGCGGCTCAAGTGAGCCATGGGAATTGGATCTTATGGTGTAACTGTGGCTCTGCTGCCCTCCAACCTGAGGGTGGTGGAGCTGGTGGAGGGGGCTGGTGGAGTTAGTGTGCTGGGAGACTTGTGCAGCTTGTGAAGTGTGATGGTGCAGAAGACTGATGGAAGGAGGGTTCTCACGGTAGAACTGGCAATCAGAGAGGGAGGCCATGGTTACGCTTTCTGGGAGGGGCATCTGGACCTAGAAGAAGACATGAAAATGCAATGAGAATTCTGCTTAGAAAGTGATGTTGCATTGTTATAATGCAGCAGACCACACACGCCAATCAAAAACAAACAAAAAAACACCTCCATGTCAATTTTTAAGAATTTAAATCTAAGGTGACCAACCTGACATGCTGTGTGGATGAAGCTTGCTGGATGTGCAGCCCTCAAGTCAGCAGCCATCTGGATCACTGAATGGACCGAGGCCAGGGTGAGGGGGTGGAGCTGGACAGTAGCATGGCTGCTTTGAGGAGAATCTGACTCCTGGAAAAACACATTCACAATTTAACAAAGTTGCACTGAGAGGAACAAAACTTTCACAGCTGGATTATGGTCAAGTTGTGGCATCTAGAGAGCATCACAGCTACTAAAAATCACATTATTCTGACAAGGACCTTGAATTCATGACGACAAATGTTGTACATATACAATGGTTTATCGCATGACTTGCAAAGTTGCTGTGAACTAACGGTTTACTAAGTGTTTGAACGAAAGAAAATATCCTTTGGTCTTACTATGTCACTTCCAGAGGAGGAGGAGAGTGAGCAGGCAGAGGAAGATGAAGAATGGTGTTGAGGGCTGGGGAGGAAGACTGGAGACGGTGAGGGGGAGTCAGCACTGAGGGGGGAGGAAGTGTCTCTTTGATCCTCGACCAGCATCATCCTGGAAAAGTCCTGTTCGCAGGCCTCTACATCTGGAAACAAGCACAACACTACAGTTCAAAGACGTCTGAAGTGATTTGAAAGCATCAAGTGACGACATAATTGTCTCTTCCAATAATGAAACACTGTCAGTTTTCTTGAGCGTCGCTGTGTAAAACGAAAGGCTCAAAGTTACAAAGAAATGACGTCAACTTAAAGTTGAACAGAAAGTTACCATGGTTTTCCAGCTTGGCATACTGTTTGGCTCCCCACGTCTTTATCGTCCAGTCCCTGTAGGCCAGGACCTCTGGGCTGACTTTGATGATTCGTCCTAAAGTACTGCAACGTAGAGAATTACAGTCTGTTATGATAGCAGGGCAAAGTCACACACCAGTACTGAGAAAAACTAGAAAAGAGTTCTGAGAAAAAGCTGAAGTGCTTGCATGAAAAAACAAGCAACCCTTCAGGCATGCTTTAATTTGTTAGCGAGAAGAAGAAAGAACCTCCTGGAAGTCGGCCACAGGCTCAAAGAAACCAACCTGTCGTAGTCTTTGTTGGGATATGCTCGTGCAAGAGGAGACACGCCATGACTCAGCACCATGTAGGCGAAGTCAAACACCTGCTTGACCTGCAGGACTCCATATGAACTCCTGCCCACATCATTCCCTGTGAAAATAAAAGATAAAATATCTGGATTACACACTATCAATTGTCGACAATGCAACCTGAATACCAGACAGCCACATAAACATAACAATCTAAAGGAGGATTTGTCAGCAAAATTAAAATCACACGCACTTTAGTCATGCAGAGTACAATTAAGATGGAGTGACTGAAATGTAGCTACGTATTTATCTTACTACTACCACCATTACTGAATCTAACAGCATTTGATTACACAATCAAACTTGAACATGTCTTATTTGATCATTTCAGGCCCCAGGCTGACCTGGCTGTATTGGATCCTCTATGCACAGCATTGATGGTCTGTTCCCATTCTCCATGGCACTGAGCATTTCCTCCTTGGACAGGTAGGCTCCTCCGTTCTTCACCCGGATGCCCATCTTCATGTAGTTGAAATCGCGGCCGTAAAGCTCAAAGAACTCGATCAGCAGGATGCCCAGGTTAATGTTGGAGCGCTGCGTGTCGATCCGAGGGTGTAACTGGGATTAACGGGACAGGAAGAACTCATTACCTTCACTTTGTGACCAACTTTGTAACCAAATCTACTTTAAAAATCTGTTTTTCTACGTGTGACATTGATTTTTCTCTCTCTAGTATTTCAAATGAAAAGCACACAACATGAACACGTAAAATAGTAGACTAAAAATATCAAAACAGAGTACAATGAGATCCAATTCTGTGAACATCTCCATCCAAAATACATTTCAGAACTTTGGTTTAGCTTACAGTGATTCTAAATCAAACGATTAGACTTAAACGTGTGTTTGAAAACTGTATTGGATGACTTTTCCATTTAATTTTTTATTTTTTTTAATTACAAAATCTGCAGTGTTTTGAGCAGTGAGTATTTACTGTAGATGTATTTGCACACTCTGGAGCTGACTGTTACGTTGATGAACATGTATCTGTTTGTGTACCTGCAGGAAGCTGATGGCCATGAGGATGAGGCTGTATGAGCTGATGCCTCCAGTGAAGACTTCATTCAAATCCCTCTGCAACAGGAACTGCTTCAGGACAAAGATCAGGGGCGGCAGAACGGTGTACTTCTACAACACAATGGAGAAAAAAAACAAACTGTCAACTGCAGCCAAATAAGCAACATTTATGTCAGCTGCTTTTAAGAAAGTAAAATGTAAAAGGATGAAAGGCTTACCTTAAGGTAGCTTTTGATGAGCTGTGCGGCTTTGACTGCGGTCTCCACATTAAAGCTGATGTCTACTTTCACTTGTGTTTCGTGGTCAGTCAGCTTGATGATTGGCACCTGAAAGGAAGGCAGAAACTCCAATGAAATAACTCCCAAACCTAAGTATATGAACCATATTTTCATGACACTGTGATAAACTGGCTAACAAACATTTTTCGTGTTAAGTTGTAAACCGAACTGTGAAACAGACGTCATCTTTTGGTGACTTACTGTAGCTTTGTCGAGGACTTTGATGGGACAAGAGCCAGCTATGTTGTGTTTTTTCAGGGCCTGCTCCAGTTGATGCAGTGGTGGATGATCCCACTTTCCAAACACCACCAGGTCGATGTCACTGAGAACAAAAACAAACAAAAAAAAAGTTCTGCATCTGAAAAAAGTCTGTTTTGCCAATTCTACAGCAGAGGGTGCTTTACTACGATGTGAGTTTGACATAGTTAGACTTTCTTTGTCTAAGCTGGCTTAACAAAAACTTAATCCCAGTCAGAGACAACCGGTATCATAACAGTGTTTATCAACTTTTTTTCTTCAGACTCACATAAAAGGAGGCATTAAACACAGCTTAACAAAACCTAAACCCCAGTCAGAGATAACCGGTATCATTGCAGTGTGTATCAACTTTCTTTCTTCAGACTATGTGCTCACGTAAAAGGAGGGATTAAACACAAAAATGCATTGGTCATGTGCTGCCGACTTAAGTCAAGAAGTTGGTATAATGGAGAGCGACGGAGAACCTAAAACGGTAAACAGGGCTGCTACTGCAAGTGATGCAAGACAGGGATGCTGCTCGAAAAAACGCCGTTGTTTAAGTTCATGTACGTACTTTACCACCCATCACACTCACAATGCAAGAGCTGTCAAACTTCATTCAAGTAAAAATGATATCGAAGAAGTGTACTTAGGTGTTAAATTGTCTCATAATGAAGGATCTCACTAATCTTTGGCCAAACCAAAGGGAAAATAATGTTTTTAATGGTACAAGTACAAAAACATGTGATTTCTGCATCACCAACTGAGTACATGTAGGTTTCCATGGCGACACATTCAATTCTTTAGCTGCACAGGTTAAAGTTGAACTACTAACGAACACCTCAACAGGTTTGCCAATATTCCCTCTGCTTAGAGTGTGAATGGCTCAGAGAATCATCAGGAAATGAATTGGTCAACATGTTGCTCTTCTTACAGCTGATTTAAATCCAAAACTGTGAACACAACCTCCTCCAGAGCAACCAAACTCTGACTTCACACTCAACATACCTTGTTAATCCATCAATCTTGTTTCATAATACACTTCTCTGCAGTGCATATTGATGCACAAGCCACCAAAATCACATCATGAGGGTGAAAACACAACATGGCAGTTTGAGAAGATAAAAAAGAAGAAATGCTAACTAGAACTGTAGATTTCAGAGCAGCAACATGTCTTTGTAGCTTAAACAAAAGGTTGTTAACCACCTCCTGAAGAAAACTCTTTTTTCCAAAAGATTGTGTACTTTTACAAAGATGGAATAATTTGAAAAGTAGCAAACATTTCAAAAAATTAGTTCAAGATGTGGTCATGTTAGAGACCCGGTCCTAATTCATAACTCCTACATTGTTGTTCCTGGAATTTAGTCCAGATTTCTGAGTGAGCATTGTGAATACAGAAGTGTGATGTTGGCACAAGCACTACACTGAACAGCAAACTTGTTTCCACGGCAAAAATCATCCTCCAATTAATATTGCGATACACTGTTTCCAAATGAGGCTGGTGGATTTATTTAACTTGAAATGTGACTAAACTTTATAACAAAAATGTCAAAAGGAAATGAAAAAAAAAAATCCAAATAAAAATCTGAATTTCCAGCAATGTGGACAGCAACACTGAATAATATATGGTGTCATAATACAGACCAAAAAACCCTGACAAGCATACCCTTTCAAAAATAGTACTCTTACTTCCTAAAAACTAGCACACTGAGACCTTTTATAAGGAGCCCGTGTAAGGTCAGACTGTACAGGAAAGGTTACCTTGTTGGAAGATAAAGTCCTGTGCTGAAGCTGCCAAATATCTCCACCTGCAGAGAACAAGAACAAATAATACAAGCCTGATTTACATTATGGCACATTACATATGGCACAATTTGATTCTCTTGTTTTCCCTTTGCACAAGATAAAAAAAGACAGCATACCCAAACTTAACAAAACATTACCTCCAGTTTACTGCATCTGTGCTTACTCATACCATCCCAAAAATCAGGTCAGGAGAGATTAAAGGGAATAAAAATAATACAAGTGAAGCCAAGACTTTGACCTGAACAAATAAACATGACTGGCAAATTAAAGCTAGTAGTTAATCTACAGTCCCCACTTATGCTGAGCTCAGTGAAAAAAAGCAGGACAGCTTGGAAGAGTTGATATTTAGAGAAAAGAAAGGAAAAAGTGTAATTCACAGTGAGGCCCAGTGGGATTTCTGTGGGCCAGGATTAGTTCAAAATGTTTACAATATTAACCAAGCAGAAAAAAAGCTAGTTGTTACAAAGTCCACTCTGTTGGCAGCATGCAACGGAAAAATAATTCACTAATGTTACTTTAGGAATGCGACATGAATAAATGATTACATCTGCTCTGCTCTGTTTGGACATATAGTGTAAACTGGGCTGTTGACTGGCTGCCATGTCGCAAAACAGAACACGAAAGCACAGTAAAGCTGAGTGTATAAGACAATCACATTGATTTATGTAGTGCATTACAGCTCTGAGATGTAATTTGCAAAGCAATAAACTGAAGTCAACACAAGAAATAAAAATGCTGTATTAAAAACCAGGGTAACATAATGATCAAATGCTAATAGTGAATACAACTTAATGAAACATCCTGTTGAAGTTTAGGAGAGAGGGGAAAAAAAAAAAAAAAGAAGTCCTTAGGCAGTAGAAGCTGTTCAGTTGTGTATTGTCTTGGTACACGCTTGGCCTCAAAGGTGGCTGCAGTTGAATTATTACCTCTCTGACATCTTTAGAAAATGGTTTTGCTTACAGTAACATGTGGTTCACCAAGATAAACAGGAACTGGCCAAAGTTGTGCCAGGTCAAAAATACCTCAGTCGGATATTAGAGCTTAACTTAAAGGCTAGAGTTGAGTCAGGAATTTATAGACTGACTTGTACGTCGAATTTAAAATGTAAACTTTCTTGGAAATGATTAAAAAGTCAATGCAGAACTCTGTTTTTATGGGACATGAAGGCAAAACGTCAGATGAAGAAAGCAGGCATTTGGAGGAGGGGTACTTCAAAATGTGTTTTTCTCCCACAATGGCTAGAAAACCCCCCACAAAAGGTAGTTCTACCTTTGCACAGTGTGCAACTGTAGGTCAATAGTTTCACTTAAAAAAAAAAAAATCAAGGTTTTTATTGCGTTGGTGCAGCTTGCAAACACTTTTCTCAACTACGAAGCCAGCTTTAGGATGCCTGGGTGTGACGGTCAAGACTTCACAGCTGCATCTGTTATGAAAAACACTGGGTGCGTTCCAACATCCATGCTATATACTACACTATACAGTGCGCCAGAATACGATTTAGTACGTCCCAGTTTACGGTATGTCAAATGCAGCATGCCAAAAATACCTGGATGTCCTAATACATCTGGCCAGATTTGGAAGGATGTAAGTCGGCGTGCTTTTCTCGCCCCTTCTGACCCACAATCCTCTGCACAGTTACGCCACATCGATTACAGTGTCTCGTGTAAGCATTAACAAGCGAAGGCCTCTTATTTTGCACTACAGACTGCGACGTTCAAAGTTTAAAGCATTTTAATAAGATCAAACAGTATGTCCTAGCTGTATGCGTACTGCATGAAACAGGATGTACTTAAATTAAAAATAAAGTATATGATCTGGAAGGCAGCTCGTTTAGACAAGAGGATTATGTTCATGGATATATAATGGTGTTCCAGTTGGGATGTTAAAGCCATGACTGTGTGAGACCAATAGCTAGTTTGGTACCCACAGCAGCAGCTTCTGGTACCAGCAGCGCACACACTTAGCCAGCTGTACCCAACATTGGTCTCTGGTTCTGCACTGCTTCTCCTCACCACATATTAGTTTCTTGCTGATTGCTGCAATTTCTCCTGATGCTCGTCTGTCCCTGGTCCCTATGACACCCAGCAGGCTCGTAGTTTTAAAGCTGCAGCTGCCATATGCTTATGAATATACATTTTCAACCTATTGAGGGTCAAAACTACAGTTAGCGTGCATGTTCCTCATTGTTAAGGAGAAATCAGCCAAGGTGGATTCGGTTTGTGACATTACGAGCAGGTTGTGCTCTTTAAAGCGTGCAAAAAACTCCTCTCAATGTTAATGCAGTGCATGTAGACATTGTTTGCAAAAACCTTGCTTCATTTTGATGTCATGCATCAATGTGGCAAGTTGCTCTTTAAAGGATGATGAGACAGTTAACTTTGTGTAAAGATACAAATCTTAGTGAAAGAAACGCTTGATGCAACAGGAAGCTTCCACTGACCTAAGGTTAGAAAAATGACGTCCTCAAGGAAATAATCACCCATAGAAATCTGAGCCCAGGTCAGAGTTCCATACAGTGTAGTCTAGAGCGGAGCACAGTTACCTGTCCGGGCCTCTGCACAGGTTTCACATCTGACCCGTTCCACACTCACCCTTGCTGTGGGCCACAAGTCCTTGATAACGTTTTCTATTCTGTTCACCACGTCCCTCCTCATGGCCTCCTCTTCGGGTCTTGGTGACATGAAGGTGAAAAAGTCCATGATCTCTTCGTGAAGACTGAAAAAACATGTGATCACAGGCAGGGAATTAAGAAAGTGAACTGAAATAGCACAAAACTTAAGTGCACGTAGAGAAAAGGCGACATTATGCATCTTTTTTTGCACCAATATTGCACACGTGCCCTTGCATTTGCATAAACAGGTAGAATTCTTCACTTGAGGAGCCCGGATGTCACTTTCATGGCTTGCAAATTCAAATAAACCCTTCTTACCCGTTGATGCCCGGGCTGTACCGCCTGGTTTTCCACAAGCTGCAGGAGGAGTCCACATACTGGCCGTTGCAGCCGTAGGACAGCAGCAGCGGGTTGAAGCCGTGGAAAGTGTTGGCTCTGCTCAGCTGCTTCCTGTGGCCGGATGAAAGTGACTGATGGTGGTGGTGGTGGTGGTGGTGGTTGTTCCCGTGCTGGCTCTTCATCTCGGTGGGGGTGTGGCCGCCAGATTGTTGCATGCTGCGACAGTGTTGCTGAACAGTGTGAAGCAGCGCGGGGGGGTGTCGGAGATTGTTCTCGTTCAACTCGCCGTAGTGTAAAAACTGCTTGGCCTCCTCTGCGACGTTCAGATTGTCGATCTGCAGAGAGGAGCCGGACGGCGACGAGCTCTCGGCCTCCGAGTCCAGCGAGGAGGAGGACGGCGACAGCGAGCCTTTCCTCCGGCCACTTCCCCTCTCTACCCCGCCGCTGCCGCCGTCTCGCTTCGGCAGTTTCCTAAACACAACCCCCGGCGGCGGTGCTACATTTCTGCAATACTCGCCGCGTGAGTCCGTGGAGTTTGCGTTTTGCACCACAAAGTTGCGTCGGTGGTGAAGGTGGTTGTCGACGCCGGAGTTCGCTCCAAATCCCTGAGAGGTTTCCCAAATGTGCATCCACAGGGAATTGGCAGGTCCCTTCTGCTCCGGCTGGATCCAAGCGGTCCTGGGATCCATTGGACTCCGAGTTCGCAGAGGACCTTCTTCACGGAGGGGGGAGGGAATGCAAGCAAATTTGGCAAATTAGATACTTTGCAGTGAAGGTAACCGATAAATCCTACCGCGTCGATTTACTCGTTATCCTCGAAGTGCTTCATGTCAGGAAACTGGTTTGGTTTTTCAAGCGGCTTGGCCAACTCCACTCCCCATGTAAGCCAGCCAATATGGCGCACCCAGCAGCACGGCTAAGGCTACTGCGCATGTCAGAGGGATTTAAATCTTTGAACACGCCCCTTAAGGCCGAGACGGAAATCAAGGTGGATGTAAACAGGACGGACCAAGCGGAAGTTGAGCTCTTTAGATTGATAAGTAAAATAAAATTTAAAAAAATATGGACACAAAATCCACACTTATGAGGGCAAATTTATTTTTACAAATAAGAATACGCACAGATTATTAACGCTTTAATCTGTGTCCACATATTGCGTGTTTTTTTGTCATTGTGTGCTCATTTTAAAGCAGCTAACAGTTTTTCTTACATTTTCCCACTACTGACTACAAAAAATACATTTTTAAATTGAATACTATTTAATGTTGATGTAAATATTTGTCTTAAACACATTCACAAATAGGGGAAAAAATATTGAAAAATGATTTCTGATCTTCACATTTGATTAGATGACAAAGCATAGTTTATTTCCTTAAGTAATATAGGTTCTTAAAAACAAGTTTTCGAGGCTTCATTTAAAAAAGAAATCTACTGTTAGCAAGTTTTCAGAGATTTATTTGAAAGAAAAAAAAAAATCTGAAACATCCAAGATAGAGATTGATAGATACTTTTTTTGATCCTTTACGGGAAATTGCTTTGTCACAACAGCTATAATCAGTGTCAAGACACTACATCTACCACTGAGCATTAAACACTGAGGTGTAACTGGACTGTTGTACATTTAAAACTAATAAACTATTTGTAATATGTAATGTAGAAAATATCCAGTGAGCCAAAAATGGCTTCATAAAATCCCCACTTACGATAAAAATAAACATATGCATACACATAGACACATGTAACCATGCATTGTGATCCTATTTAGAATTTCTTTAAAATATTGGGTCACGGTGTCAAAGCAATGTCCAGTAAGTATAGTTTTACATTTGCTCATTGGCATACAAAAGCTTTTATTTTGGTAGTTAGACCCAGAAGTTGTAGCTCGTACTTACTTTCATAAATGACAGATGAAACCCGGTCAGGATGAAACGTGAGGGTTGTAGTAATTTAGCAGGATTATTGGTGACTGTTGATATAGAGCTAAATGAGCCTTAATGTTCACCGAACACGAAAACATACACAGTCTAGGGGTAAAAGCAGCATCTGTTTCTTCCAGAAATCGTTTAGTTTTAACAAAAATCATGGAAATGTCTGTCTCGGATCAGGTCAGTACATACAATTCCCTAAGGTAATGTATGGCTTTGTAACAGGAGAGGCAGGTCAACAGACGGTACAGGGACACACACGATCTGGCTCAACATGTGCACATTTTAATTAGAAAAAAAAAAAAAAGTCTAGAACCTCTGAAATTTCAAACTGTACAAAACATTTACAACCAAACATTTGGCAGCTTATTTTTGATGAACGCAAACATCGACACCACATATTTACAGCAGCACTAACACGTGTACATGGTTTACAATATTTTACAGCATTACCTGAGAATAGCAGAAAGGCAGGAGATCATGCTTGTCCAAATGTTCCAGGGTGTGGTGGACTACAGTTTTAGGAAACTTAATTTTTTTTTTTCCCATTAAAACTTGAGGTAACGTTTGTTGCAAAACTGGACAACATTTACATTTATATGACATTTTTGAACGGACGTGCACATAAAACCACAAAAAGCAGACATTTATGAAGTCTGACGTGATCTGTAACCATTTAGTTGAATTTAAGGCTTAAAATGAACCTCTAAACACCCTGCCTTACTGAGCACAAACTTATTTGCATTTATTTGAGAACGCAAATGGTGAACAACTCTATTACAGGCTGCAAGTCTACAAGTTAAAAGTCAGCATTAACGTACTTGTCTTTTAGTTAAAATCAGTACATGCTGGTGCATGTAGATGTGCACATTTCTAGCTCTTGACCTGCCTACAAATGGAGGCTAACTGGTTAATGCAGCTGGTGACAGCAGGAGGGACGCTGTTAGATGTGTCTCCTCTCCACCCTGCCAGGGCAGTCAGGGCTTCTTTGGGGTTGCAGGGGGAGAGCTCGTAGATGCAGTAGATAGCTGCTAGCTGGACCTCCCATGGCAGGCCTGCAGACAGACGACACAATGTGACCTGAGCTCTTAATGCAAATCCATCTACAGGAACACCTTTCCTTGTTTACATCACAAGGTCTCAGCATTACACGTACTTTTCAGTTGATGTGGCACAAATATGAAAAACTCTCAAGCTCCTTTATTTTTTAAAAGGACACATTTTACATAATCTTTTGTTATTTCATATATTTTCTTTATAGTTGAGCCCAGATTATTTATAGCCATGCAAAATCTTGATTTACAGTACATTCTTATTTGACCAAATGGCTTTTCCAGGCTGGAAATCACATACAAAAGTGGGGAAAAAAAGATGGCGAGACATTGTGCTATAGGTGATAATAATTATTAACAAATGCTGCTTCTACATTTGTTTTACACTTTCTCAAAAAGTGCAAAGTCCAAAATATTTCATACCACTTGACCACAAGACAATTCTGATTTTGAATACAGACATAGAAATGTGCTTTACCACACCTGAATAAGATATAAATATGGATCTTGTTTGAATGAACGCAGGTATGCAAATGTGTGCTTAGATATTAAAAAGATAAAAGATGTGCGTTCAAAAAATGTGAAAAGCTTGTGTGTGGAAAACTGGCTGCACTCTCAGCGCAAAGCAGATGCTATGGATTAGTTACAGTCAGACTGAATCGGTCATATTTCATACCTTCCACCTGTCCCTGCTGACCAAATGTGTTGATGACGCTGGCAACAGTCAACACAGATGAAACACACCTCTCTTTAAGTCCCACTTGACCAAGACGTCCTATGTAAAACAAAAAGACAATTAATTCTCCACAAGTTAACACATCACTTCAGGTTATGCTTCATATTTAAGTAAAGTCACAAAACAACTGACCTATGAGTCGGAGCACAGTGGCGACAGTCACATCAGAGACAGGTTCTTGTTGACTTCTTGGCTGTGTTACCCAAGAATTCATTAATGGCCACAACTCCTTGCTGTCGAAGTAAAATGAACAAATTAGCAAAGGTGCCACTTGGTGAAACATGCATCATGTTGTACACGGTTGTTTAGGTTTTCTTTGGAAGACAATAGTGAGTTCAATTCCAGCATTAAACACTGCAGATTCATGTCGTACAGAATAACATACCCCAGTACATTTTCATAGGTCCACTTCCACTTCTTGTGCGAACACAGAAGGTGCAGTGTGAAGACGTGTTCCCAAGCCGCAGCTGCCAGGTCATCCCCGTACCGACTGTGTTTTGTGAAAGACAGATTTGACCCTGACCGGATCTCAGACAGTGTTCTGGAGATCAGCTGGTCAATGTCACAAGGAGGACTCTGTGGTGATATGGGGAGATTAGGTATTAGAGGATGCACTCCGCTTAATCTGAGTAAACACAGATGGGAAAGATGGGCAAGATGAGATGATGGGATAAAGACAATTAACTGACTCAAACCTAAGGTCACACAGGTTAGAAATGGACCAATGACCAAAGTGAAAATGTCCATAATCATTAATAAAACGTTGTTTAAATATAATATTATTTGATATTTGTGCCTCTATGTGCTTAGATTAGCAGACTGTGGAGAGATAAAAGGAAATGAAGGGAGTAAGAGGGGAGGGAGTGACATGTAACACAGGTCTCCACCTTGACACAAACCAGGAATGGTGCAGTTGACCTCTACGTTCAACACTAACACATGACTCAACTGTAATCATTTAGTACTATTTAGTAGTAAACTGTGGTGACTGGAGATTTGTCAGAGAAATCTCGCTGTGGGTTAAATATGTGACAACTGCAGAACTTATAAATGTACCTTTTCCCAGCCAAGGAATGCTGAAAGGCAGCTGAGAAGCCCTCCTTCTGCTTTCAGTTTGGTGACGGTATGAATGGCTTGGCACAGAGCGCTCTGTGAGAAAACCGTCGGCCACGTTGTCACCATAAACAACACCAGCTTGGCTGAATCTGGGTAATCTGCAGAGAAGAAGACAGAATAAATGACAAAAAAACAACCATAAAGATGAAGCGGTAATGACAAGGTGCAAGGTGATAGTATTAAGAATGTTACATCTGGTTGCTCACTGCATTCTGTAGTAAAAAAAACAAAACAAAACTTAACCAAATAACTACCAACTATGCAACTTTATGGGTCTAGATTACTCTCAGTTAAACCTAGATATTTTTTTCTACTTTCAGGATAAATAGAAAATAAAAAATCAACACCCATGTTGGGGCAACAAAAGTATTCCAAAGACTTTTAAGGAAGACAAAGTGCTCACCTTCCATGAGAATGCTGTAGGCCAGGATGTGAACCTTGTCCTGGTATCTCTTCTGCCTGCAGATCCCCGTGTAGACTCTGCAGAGGGCCTGTATGTAGTTTCTGCTTAGGTCATTCTTTTCAGCTTTCAGTTTTTTCATGATGGCCAAAATCATGTCATCTGCACTGAACTGAAGAGAAGAGAGAGAAAACATGATCAAATGAGTCCATATTCACACTAAAAAACAACCAACAAATCCCACTAGCCAATGACAGCCATTTGTATTCAGAATAATGAGAATGTACATGTGAACCACTTCTTTGCTTGAATTGAACCAGTGAAGTTTGATTCACACATTACTGCCTCCATGCAAAGACTTTGCGGTTTTCTCTTATTTTTAACTAAACCATAGCAGCAAGTTAACAAAGAAGGGAGATATTCACTTTGGTACAATGCACAGATGGCAATGAGCCAATTCGCTCTATGTGAATACACTCTTTGGTTAAAAAGAAAAAAAGGAAGTGTTACAGAAGTACAGTGCAGGCCTAATGAAATGGGCTTCTTGCATAATAGATTCGCTCATTCATTGCTTTCCATGGACACTTCATCTGGTCGTGAAAAGACATTGAGACGTTGAGAATTTGCAGTAATTTTCACCATGTTCACAGATGAAAATAGAATGATCCACTATGAGATGTGAAATAATAACCTGGAAATGTATGCTAAAGGGAAGTAAGTTTGTAAATTAGTGCCACAAGTGTTGAAGTTCCATCCCGTCATTAATAAAGCTGTTAAGTTAAGCATATGTTTACCTCTTTAGTTTGGTTTAATTATGCATGTGGAAGTGATGTCTTTTCAAAACAAGCAAATAAATGACGATTTCTCCCCCCAAAGAAGTTGCAAGTTATGTGAGAAAAATACTGCAATGTAAAGAGGAAGTAAAACTGTTGCATATGGTTCAGTATAAAGTCATACTAACCAAGCCGCTTTGGCAAATCTCAGAGATGACCTCCTTCTCCTCATCCCTCAGGACGGGCTTTTTGGGCATGTTTCCAACATACAGGTGGCTCTGGAGCACCGGCAGCAGATCAAAGCACTGGTGTTCGATTTTCTTGAAACAGTTAACGATAAGATTTTGCTCTGCAGGTTCTCCAAGTTTCATGGATGGAGATGGTGTCGCATTTCTGAGCTGTTCGAGCCTCACGGTCGGCGAGGTGGTCTCCTGTCCACCGTTTGAGAAGGACAGTACCTGCTTGCGAGTAACACCAGGAGAGCTGCTGTCGAGCCTGAGACATTTGCTGCTCTTCAGCTGAGACAAACCTTCGGCTGGTCTTTTTTCTCCCCGCGTCTCAGTCTTTGTGAAGGCCGTTGAAGTGGAGTTGATGGTTGTAAAGCTGGACTTCTGACTGTCAGTCGTTGTGGGTAATGTTCCGCTCTCTGATGAACAAATGCTGAGATTGACATTGCCTCTGAGAATGCTCAGAGTCCGGGCACGGGCAGAGAGTTCTGGATACATGGTGTCAAGAATCCTCATGGAGTTCTCCTGAGATGGACTGGTAGAAGATGACGGGGAAGAATTCATTGCTGTTAAAGGCAGACGACCAGGGACTGGAACGGCGTGTTTTGGAGTGGCAGAGCCAAACTGAAGTGGTGATGAGGGGACTCCATTTGGAGGGACTGGGCTGTTTAGGGATGAAGAACTCAACTTCTGGCTGCTGTGGGACTGGACAGGAGTGGTCGGTGAAGCCAATCTATCCATGGGTGAGGGAAATAAGATTTTCCCGATAGCCTGCCTTGGGCTGATTGATTTGACTGGCTTGGGAGGTGTCTTCAGAGGGGTCAGAACAGGAGGAAGTGGAGGACCCATTTCAGAGCGAACATTACCTATACACTCTGGGGTTTGACTTGTAGTTGAACTTGACGGCGAGGTAGATTTTGCCTCTTTGACCGTATGTGGACTTTGTTTTTCACACACTTCTGTGCAAGGCTCAGAACATTTCTCTTGTCCTTTTGTGGCAGCAGCCTGCTGATTTAATGAGGTAGTGTTACCTGAGTCTATTCTGTCTTGAGGGAAGTCGCTTACAATGGCCTTTTCAGAGATGTCTTTTTCCTCTAAATTGGAAACAAGAGCTTTTTTGTTCATTGAAATCTGTTCTGTATTTACATCAAAATTCAATTTTCTTGGCTCTGGGGGAGTTTCCAAAGTCTGCAGTTTTACAGTCGGTAGCAGACACGTAGGACTCAACTGCCTGCAAACAGAATGTGTATTTTCTGTCAAAGCTTTACTGCTGACAGTATTTGTTTCTTGGGAGTCCGAAAGGGATCGGCTGCTATCTGCCATTATTTTGCCGTTCATTCTCTCTATGTCAACATCCATTTTTGAAGGAGTGTCACAATTTGCTTGAAGATATTCCTGGTCAGCTTGTGACCCGTCATCCTCTTTCTTCAACACTGGAGACTTCTCAGGAGGCAGAGGTTTTTGATCACCATTTGCCTTTGAAGGTGAAGCTGTTCCATCAACTCCTTGTGTTTCTTGCGCTGCGTTTCCATCCTCCTTTCTAAGAAGCTCGATGGGTGCATCAACTTCGAGCCGCTCTTCATGGGTCATATTGGATACACTGTTGTTGCCGTTACTGCTACTTGATGAACATTGGGTACTTTCTTGCATTTCTGAGTCCTTGCAGAGAGACACCGTGTTCTCCTGGAGTTTAAATGCAGTCGCAGCCTGACTGCCTTGTCCTAAACAACAAGAACCCTGAGCACTTTTCTCAACTTCTGAGCCATTTTCAGTATTTACAATCTTGGCATCTTTCACAGATTCAACTAATGTTGAGGAAGTAACAGGCTGTATATCTCCTCCTCCTTCTTCTGAGATCACAGCAGCATCTTTTCCTATGGGTGACTCTACACCATCAGGAATGACTCTTTTGGCATCAGTAGCATCAGTAGGATTTGTGTCAACATCCATCTTTGTAGTAGTCTCCTGATGTTCGTTTACCTCTTCTGGACTTTCAGTAGTTAATGAGACAGCTTCAACCAAAACTGTCATAACTGAAGAAGAAGAAGAAGAAGTAGAAGAAGAAGAAGAAGAAGAAGAAGAAGAAGAAAAAGAAAAAGAAGAAGAAGAAGAAGAAGACGACGATGATGTTAAATGCTCAGATGCTGACTCCTGCTCAGTTAGCATATCTTCTTGAAGATGCATTTTTCCATTATCTGCACTGGATTTGTTCTTAATCTTAGTGATTTCGGTTAATCCACTTTGTGTCAAGCCTTTGGAGTCTACTTCTGTAGACATATGTCCCATGTCCTGTGTTATGACCACTGGCAAGTCCACATTCTTCTCAGTCCCAAGTACAGAAGAGTTTGGACTTTTTTGGCTCGACAGTGACGTGATGTGTAAGGACTCTTCTTGGATAACAGGAGAATCCTCAGAGGGTTCAGGATGATTTTCCTTTTCTCCATCATCCTCAACAGATCGCATCTCGGTGTCCTGAAAAAAATAAGAAATAAGAAAGCAAGAATGAAATTTCTGAAAAATCATGCGCCCTATGGTCTGAGAATGACAAGGTTAACCAAACCTGTGCTTTACTAAAATTACTATTAAAAAAACACTCTAAAATAATGAATTATACATGGAACATCAGTAATTGTATTTGTAAGTTTATCAGCTGACTCTTTTGGAAAGTGATTTTCTCATTATATCTTCAATGGCTTTTCATTTAACTGTTTGGTAGAATTCTTGCAGTGTAGACATGCTACATGAACAGAAAGCCATAGCAGCTCACACTGGCTCAACATTACAAATTTACACAGGTAAACCTGCATGCAGTCAGCTGAAACAGCAACAGAAAAACACAATCAAACACATATAATTCTCACCAAATCTGATAGTGGTGATATGCAGGGAGGCATGGGTTTAAACAATTCCAGTATCTCTTCAACAGATAATTCACAGCTGCCTGTGCCAGTAGATGAATCATCTGTTTTGGATTGTTTAGATGACCGCTTGCCCTTTTTCGAACTGTCTGTTTGCTTCTTGCCACTTGAGCGCTGAAGAGGTTCTTGGGGTTTGATGGCCGGAAATGGTGTCAACGCTGTGCAAGTGGGTTTTGGCTGTATGTGGTAACTGTGGGAACCGCTGAGCTTGTGAGAAGCAGAAGGGGACGTTTTACTCATACGCGATTTCAGTCTTTTTTGTGGAGAGGAGGGAAGAACTTGCTTGCAACTGGACTCTGAAATCACAAGAATAAAAAGAGAGAATTGCATGCATGTCTAAAAGTGTAAAATTAAGAATAAAATACAAACTAAAAAAAGCAAATTCACTAGTTTTATGTCAATAACAATTTACAAATACACAAGAGGTCTTAATGATGCCTGACCTGGAAGGTGCAACAGGTTTGCTGACTGTTCCTGCTCTGGCTCCACACATGTCCATAAATTTTCTAGCAGCATCCGCACCTTGTCTGAAAAACACAACAAAGCATTCATACGATGAAAAAATAAAAAAACAATCTGCTTTTAGGGTTAATGCATGTGTTTAGCTTATCAAATCAATGCAATAAATAATAGGTAAAAGAAGCTGCATACCTTTATCAACTTTAGGCTCTGCAGGCGCACTTGCTTGAGTTGCTGCGTTCCTATAGTCTTGTTGAGAAGTAATTCACATATTGACAAAACGTTAATTGGATTTTCAGTCTGTTGTTCAAAAAAACTATGAATAGGTCAAATAAACAAGGATATATTGGTAACTATTTTTCCATTTATACTCTTAAAATTATATAAGAAAATTGTTTTTAAAAATGCTACTTTGGAAGAATTTTAGCTATTTGTCGCTTCTTCAAGAAACAAGATCTGACCACAGCAACACTGCATCAGTTAAAAAAACAACAACACATAAACACATTCTATGTTTTTACCTTTACTCCTTTCTCTTTCCAGCCTCATCAGTCTCACCTAAAAAAAGAATTGAAATCATACACAGAGAAATGTTGGTTTAATAGTGTTAAAAAAAAAAGCTGCCATTTTGCTGTATATGAAGACTTTTACTGCACCTGGAGGTCATTAATATTTCTCTCGAGCAAGATTTTCTCTTTGGTCAGTTGAGAGATTTGATGATTCTGTTTGCAAACTGAGTCTGAAATGAGATCAATGAAACTACTATTAAGTCATCAAAAAGTACTGACATAGAAACACAGATTTAAGACATCATGGGAACATAACACGCTTCATATTAAGTAAAATCAGATTTTTAACACCAACCTTCGAGCAGTCTAACTTTATTTTCAAGGTTGTCCTTTCTGTGGATGAGAAAACAACATGGAACCTTTCAGCATAATTTTTTTTGAAAAGATTTTCTCAGAAAAAAACAAAACAAAAGCAAAAGAACAAACTATACTTAATCATGAAGCAGCAATAATTTCATTAACGTTTCACAACACAAACAGACACATTAAAACAGAGAGATAGAGAGAGAGAGACGTTACAATCATTACTGTTCAATTTAAGAAACTATAACTTTAAAAGAAGTGCAATTCTTACATGCTTGTCAGGTTGGCATTCTCCTCCATCAGCTTTTCAACCTGATCTGCTTGTGCCTGGGATTTCCTCAAAGATGTCTGAAGAGACAAAAATTAAAATGCACAATTTCCAATGCTGGATGTTAGCAGATTTAAACTATAGTAAATTCAAATATACTTCGGAAAAATGCCCTTTCTTACTTGGGTGTTCAGCAGATCGTTTTCCACAACTGCCTTTTCCCTCTTCAGCTGAGCATTTTCAAGTGACTGTGTTTCTGTCAAGTCTAAGAATGTTTTAAAGATAATTACAAACAAAATTAGATACTCTTCTAACACTTTTTCAACAAACGATCATTCACAAACGTGCAAGTCTTCCCAATTAAAATGTACAGCATGTGAATACAAAGTACCTTTCACATATTTTAGCTGGTCTTCAAGCTTTTCATTCCTGAAAGATATGGAAAATACTATTTAACATTTTACCACAAACACCATCAAGAAAAATACCATTATCTGCGCTATCATGATTGTGATAAGTGTCATCACTTACTCTGCCGTTGTCTTATTGTTTTCCTGTTTCAGTTTTTCCATCTCTTCAGATAGATGTCCATAGGCCTTAAGAGCACCCTATCAAACATGAACACACTCAGAATATTAGCATAGCATAAAAAAAAAAAAAAAAAAACATATCTACAAACATATAGTATCAGGATTCTATGGAGGAACAACCTACCCTCTTTTCCTCCAGCTCTGCTTGCACAGATTCATAATCCACTGTCTTTTTCTCCAGAGTAACCAACCGGATCTGCAGCTCTTCCAGCTGCTGTTGAAGCCTGATTGTGTCACTGTATAAACAATGTTAGGAACGTGGATGTGTTAATCCAGTTGCAGACAACAATAAAATGTATACATGTATTATTCATACTATGACCATTTTTCAAGGCATCTATGCGGGGAGATTGTCTGCAAAATGTAACAGACCCCTTGTACTCCTTTATTTATGTATTTAATCAAATTAAATACATAAATTGCACCGTTATTAAAGTTAAAACTACGGTTTACGCATTAGTTGAGTTACTTTCAAGTGTCTGACTAGGACAAATTCACATAGATAATACATTAAGACACGTCTGGGAATGACTAATTAGTATGCACAATCATTATAAATATATCCCGCTCGCTAACAGCTGATACCTGTCCATTGGTCCGGAGCAATCTGAGCGCAAATCAAATATACTTTTGCTGTGTGTGTTTCTTGAATATTTCACAAGAAGGCGTTATTTCTATCCAAGTATTATCACAACTGGTGAACTGTGATTGAGACGCGTTACCATGACAACTGTTAATACTCACTCCGAAACAGCGATCTTCTGTTTCAGTGCCAGAAATGACGACACATACTCTGTCAGGCTCTGTCAGTGGAAAAAAACAACAACAACACAACACGAACATATTCATAAGTACCGACATGTTAACTTGAAAATGTTAAGGCAACAACTCATGAATAGTGTGGCAATCACTACACACTATTTACATTCAGTCTTGAAATATGAAACGCAGTAATTTAATTGACACAGAAGGATAATCTGACCTGGTGCAAAACAGAACAGTTTTGACAGTTTCCAATCGTCGCGTCCGCGGCAATTGCAACCGTTTTGGACTGACTGTCTCCTGGCATCATGGTAAGACCACGTCCACCGAAAAAAAAAACCCCAACGCGGCTGTTATTTTATATCATATACAGAGACCACCATGTCTCAGTGTCACAAATTCCGGGCAAGTTCAAAACAACTTCACATTTTCGCGTCTCCCACGTTGATCAAGGACCCAAGCCAGGACCCGGCAGAGGGAGCTCCGCGAAGTGCCGGTAAACCAGAAACCAATAATCTCTTACTACGGTATTCATTTTTCAAAGATATTCTTATTTTGTGTCAATAATTAATTAGATATAAATAATTCATCCGTTCAAATTTGAAGTTAATTTTTTTGGAGGCCTCGATATGATTTTTGCGCTCATTCGGATTTTTCTTCAGGCACTTCATTGTGGTGCAATGCTGATGAACATGCGCTCCAGCTTGTGTCCAGTACGGTCTTTATATCAGTTGCGTTTATAAATTATACGCGGAACTTTGTTATTAGTGTACCAATACTGGTAACGAAGCAGTTGTTCAGATGCTTCAGAGGCAGTTGTTCTGAAAAAAAAAAAAATTCCGACGCATTTTGATAGTCAAAAATGGCGACATCTGCTGGACAAATCTTAGGTATGGACTACATTTGAGTGCACAGCTCGAACACTCTCACTCCTTACGGCTCCTCATCAGTGTTACAGTGTTCAATATAACATGCATAATGAAAAACTGTGGAAGTCTAGAGTTTACATAACAGTTTTTAATGAGGCAATTTGAAAAGAACAATTGGCGTTAGGAACTAGCCACACACCTATGTGAGGAAAGACCAAGCTTGGTTTGGGACAGTCAAGTAAGTTTTGGCTTTAGAAGGTGTTGTCGAATAAATATAATGCCCCAAACACCAACAATAGTATAAGTGCCAGTAGGCGGTGTATGCCTTGGGTAAATCTAGATCTGATTACAGCATGTACGCAGTCCCTGGTGGTCTAGTGGTTAGGATTCGGCGCTCTCACCGCCGCGGCCCGGGTTCGATTCCCGGTCAGGGAACTCCTTTTGCGTTATCTTTGAAGTAGTTGCATTTTCATTGAAAATATGCAAAACATGGTAGAGCTGCAACCCTCCACAGCAGTTCCGAGAATGACAGGACTAATTGTAAATATGTCGGTAGTGGTGTTTGGCCTCTCTTGTGTGCTTGCTCAGATGGTTACGATGATTTGTTTAGTTTTGAAATAAATACTTTTTGTCAGAAGAGGGTGCTGTTGTACTGGTAACAGTTGTACGAATCTGGCTCTCTCCCCTACCCTTTTGCGCAGACACACTTACACACACACACACACACACATACACACACTGTACAACTACTTCGGTCGGGTCCAGCAATAAATGGCTAAAACCCCTTAGTTATGCATGCAAAAACAACAAAAACAAAATATTGAATTTAAGGCAATAGTAGCCTATGTAGCATAATGTTCATTTTCCATTTGTATGATGGAATATGTCTTCGTAACACTGTCAGAGCTGAGCTCTGTTTATGTGCTTCTATACTGAGGCCTTGTTGATTAGAATATCCATGCTTACCCTCAATATTGTGCTTTTGTTCTTGATCAAGGACAAACTGAGGTGGTTTTGCCTCTAACCCAGCTGTATAAGTGCACTAAAGTTGGTTTATTGCAACTCGTTGCTCATAAAATCAGCTGGATGGACTCAATAATGTATTTGCCATTCCTTATTCAAAATATGTTGACATAAATGGTTGTGCTAAATAATTCTCCTCAATACTGTATCAGCAGATTTTGATTCCAATGGCTGAAAGGAAATAACTAAAGGTGCTGGGATTGCTGTAGGTGCATCCTGATGGAAAGATAATAACCCTGTAACTTCAGATGAACCTTCTGAGTGTAGCCTCAAGGCTAAAGAGCCAACTCTTTCCAAACAGATGCAGTCAGAGATAGCATAGTTTCTTTAAAGTGGAAAGGGCAGTATTGTGCAAGCTCTCTCTTCCTTCCTGACACTGACAGATAATCTCTTCTGTTACCTGACATGAATTAGGTTACATTTCAAATGTTGCCAGATTTGCCTCCATCACCTTTTGTTGTCTTCAGGAAGCCTTTGTCTGATCACTATCTTTGTGTAAACAAAAATGCTTCATCCTTTTTACCCTTTTAGTCTTGCAGGGTTGGATTTCTCCTCTTTTTTTTCCTGTTAAGCTGTTGTTGTAAGACTGAGGAGAAATAAATAAAGACAATATCCCACTTAACCAATAAATGATTGTTTTTCACCTGTAGAAGTGTTTTCCTTAACCACTGCTGATAGGATTTGTAATATTAACAGTGAAACTCACATTATCAGGGTGTGGTTACATGATTTAAACATTTTGATCACAGAAAACTTGACTTTTTCTCTCCTCTTCTGAGTTTTTTGAGACTTCACTGGGTTGCAAAGTGGCTGATGGCGGTACATTCCACAGACTGAGAGGGAGTGCATGTGTCTGATTGTGCGCGCTGTTGCTTTTGTCAGCAAACTGTCATTGATTTATAAAACTGTTTTGAATCTCTGAAAATCTTGCAGACATTTGCTTGTGAAAAAAAAAAAAGAAAACTCACTGCAACTCTGGCCTACATTTATTCAGTAGCTCAGTGTCTACACAGACAGAGTAGCGCAGTGCCCAGAGCTGGCTCTCTAGTCAAACTATAAATTGACTACAGAGAGGTGGCTGACAAGGATGAAAACCCCTTTTTTTCTCTTTATACCCACCTCTCCCTCTGGCTTATTCGCCCTCTTTCTCACAGCATTTTTCTCTGACACCACCAATATTCTCCCATATTTCTTCTCACACTCTTCTTCTTTCCTCCCTCACTCTCCATCTGTAGGCCTTAGGGCTGTGCCCCAGGGTATGACAATGGTTATTTTGTTTTGGGCATCTGTGTCTCCTTGACTTGTTGGGAAATGACTAAAGAGGAAAGCACAGACACCATATGTCATAGGTGTTGAAATGGCTAATACCACGTTGGCATTAGAGTTAGCCAGGGCCTTGCATGGCTTACGCGCTCTTCTCCATTGCATGCTGAAACCAAGATCTTAGCATCAGGCCTGCTGTCTTATGAGTTTCGCTGTGATATGACATGTAATGTGGTGCACAGTGGAAGAACTGCAGAAGATGCGCTCCAGAAAGAAAAAAAAAAAAGTCAAGTTTATTTGTATACCTCAATATCACCATCAATTTCATCATAATGCTTAACTGTAGAACCCTGGTGCATGTGAGGTGGGGTTCCGATACAGAAAAGAATACTATCAGCAGGAAAACCATATCAGATGACTATAACTGCTAAATGCTTTTCAGATTAGGTGAAAGGTGGAGCTTGTAGTGAGAACTACAGACTCTCCCCTCAATGTTTTAGTCCTTTTAGCTCATTATTTTGGTTTTACGGCTCATGACTTAACTGTTTTGATTCAGTCTCATCAATGGATTCCCTAAGAGTATTCTGGAGTTTATTCCAAATGAAACAATAGTACTGCTTGAGAATTTTGTTTTAATTCACAGGGTAATTAGGAACCCTGCCTGGTGACATCTGAAAGCAAACAAAGGAATGTAGGGGCTTTTAATGTACGTTAAATAGAGATAAACGGTTTAATTTTGTAAATGCTGGACAGAAAGACAATAAATAGAGGGAAACACTGTAGTTATGGAGGTATGTTTAAATTTACAAACGTACATTACAGCTGTTACATCTGAAAGTTACAAAGCTATGTGATAAAGTCACAGAAACACAAAAGAACAGTCGAGTCCCTGCTATCGTAGAAAGTGAAACGTGTAACAATGACGATAGTGATGTTAATAAGACACTGAAAGGCAAATCCTTTGTCAGGGCATGATGACAGCAACATGCCCGGTTGTAGACTTCAGCCAAAAAAGTATGACTGAGGTGATCAAGTTTCCTTCCTGAGCCTTTTTCCACTTTGCAAGAATCCACGGAGAGCTAAAAAGTGTGTACCCCCTGGAAGATGAAATTAAGTCAGACTTACAGCTGAAAAGAATGAAATCAAGACTCATGCTACAGTTGAGTTGCTGTCATGACACACATTTGTTAATGTTATTTCATTTACATTGTAGAAAAAAACACATTGTAATAGTATTAGCCATTATCCATCAGTGCTTTCAAACCATAATTGATATGTAATGCATTTTTGTGCCATGTCGATAAATGCAATGTATGACTTCCTTGTTTGATAATGTCAAATAACAAAACGTGGACCAGTGACTTTTTCTTTTTTTAAACAGCACGCTCATATGGTTTGGTGCTGATAAAGATTTCTACCTGACAGCTGTTTTCTTTTTCAAAATCAAATAATTGTTTTGCATTAAAAGGTGCAGTTTGTCAGCATGTAATGAAACATAATACAAAATATGAAAGTAATGGGTTCAGGGTGGAGTAATAAAAGGACATATTTATAATGCTTATTAATACAGTCTTCCAGCAACGCTGCATTGTAAAGCCAATAAATAAAACAAACAATACTGTACATGGGTCACATAATTCAATTGTTCATTCCTGAAACTTGAGGATTTCACATTGATTTGGTGAAATCAGTGTGACAAAGTTGTAGCACCACAGAGTATGAAAGCCAGTTCACACAGACAGCTTCATCTCAGAATAGTTCTCTCGTGTATGATTAATTTGTTTTCTTTCCTTTTTTTTTTCTCTTATATGACAGCACGGAGCCGTCTGCTATTGTCCAGCTACTGAGGAAATCCACTTTGATTGACCCGTTTTTAATCGAGCTCCAGGTGAAATTATGTCTACGTAATTGCTTCTTTGAAACATCCCTTTTCATAATCAGTCCCCAGATTAGCAATTGATCAAGAACTGCAGCACAAACCAGGGCGTATCACATGTTGTGCTTGAAACCTCATCAGCAGTTTCTCTCTGTTGGTTTGCCATCATTGGCCTTTGGCTGGCTGGAGATGCTGGGTGTCCTGGGTATAGATCTGTTCAGTTACAGTATATAAACAAAGCTGGGCTTTTTCAGGTTTTCAGTTTCTTTCAGACATGTCAGTCCTATTCGCTTTAATCAAGATTCCAATTTTGCTAGTTCCTCCTCATTATTCTCTTCTTTATTTATTCTTTCCTGATCACATTCCCGTGTAGTGTTGTCAGCATCAAGTTCTTGTATCCAGATGTCC